ATAGTTATATATGTAACTATTCACACAGAAATACAGAATATGTATATTTCAATGTTTAGATGTTAATAATATTAAATGTGGCTTGGTGCGGCATGGTCGGATGCTTTAAATCGGAAACGTTCTAAGTGTACGCACTAGTCGGCGTTGTTAGCTCCCGGATAGGTGACCACCGGGTTTTTAGCAAAAACTCCTTGCCATATATACAAAACGTGTTACAACTAACCGTTCTTAACACACRATACCAGGATAATGAACTTAGTAGTTGAAGTTGAAGCATTAGTTCTAATAAAAAAAAAAAAAATGTTCTTTAGTTTTTCAATCAGTGATAAAACAACTAACAATTTTCAGTTATTGCAAATAAAAATGTTTTTTTGTAAATGTTGGCTTGACAAAATACTTGTTATCATTTTCATACTTATATTAAAATTTTAACGTTTACTGTATTCATCTGWAACACGCATTTTCCAGGTCTTTTTCATCCGGAACACATGGACTATAGATTAAAATCCGATTTCGAGACGCAGCCCACGTTACAGGAAATGACCAGGAATGCTATTCAGTTGCTTCAGAAGGAACCAAACGGTTTCGTTCTTTTCGTAGAAGGCGGCCTTATCGACAAAGCACATCACAATACTTGGGCAAGAATCGCACTCGACGAAACTTTAGAATTTTCCAATGCTGTGGCGGACGCTGTGGCGATGACTAGTGAAGATGACACATTAATCGTGGTGACTTCAGACCATGCGCACACCATGTCGATGGCTGGTTACCCTAAACGAAACGAGAATATTCTCGGTGTATCGGGAACGATGGCCATGGACAACATGACGTATACAACACTGAGCTACGCCAACGGTCCAAAAAAATCCTACACGGGTGATGACGTATCATGTCATAGAGTCAACGTAACGAACGAAGATGTTGCAAGTAAATACACCAAAACAATTTAACTGCGRTACTTTGAAATCGTAGGATAATTAATGATGGGCTTAAAATAACACAATGGTTATAATTTATAATTAATGCATTACAACATCACGCTGTTTGATATATTTCGTGTAATATTCTCATTTGAATTGGATTTTTTTCTAGAGAAAGTCGACTTCTCATATCCAAGTCTGGTCGATTTAGACTCTGAGACTCACGGAGGAGATGATGTCATGGTATTTGCGAGGGGTCCTATGTCACATTTATTCACTGGAAACTACGAGCAAAATCTAATTCCTCTTGGTATGGCAATGGCTGCTGGAATTTCCACAAATCCTTCGTCTACTGACTCTAGCAGTGGTGCCATTGCACCATGTAATTCCGCTGGACAAACTATTCTCGCAGTCCTATTTTTGACTTTTGTTGGAATTATACAGTCTAGCTTATAAATCTCAAAAAAAAAAATAAAAAAAATATGATGATATTATTATAACTGATTTTATTTGTAAGTCATAAATATTATATATATTATATATATCATACAAGTAACGGTTTTCCTGTTTTTATTGATTTTAGTTTAAAATCGCTATTTTTTACTGTAATATTATAATTTTATCATATTAGGACTTTTGCTGAAAATAAACTCAATATAGCTTTAAATATTACATTAAAAATATTCAAAGAAAACTTAATTATAGAATATTAATAATGTCTAATGAAAAATTTGTAAATGTATTTTGTGAATTAAGAATAAAAGGAGTAAATGATATAATGGAAGTTCATTTAAAAAATTGAATACTCAACACATTTTTCTAGGTGAGGTTTCTAAAGTAAATTGTTGTATTGAATTATAATTAAAYTTAAAGGTTAAATACTTTAGTTAWATTACAAATTGTGTTTTAAAACATACATCATATTTTTCRTTTTCTTATCAGTAAATATGTATATATTTAAGGTTACATTTCTTTTGGTATACATATAATTATGATTTCTATTACTCACTAACTGACAGCTGTATAACCTGACTTCAAGAAAATAAAAATTCTGTGCTATATAATTGGCGTGTATAACTCGTTTTATGAACTTAATCCACCGAGATGGACAATCCACCCATGTGATGATTATCCAATAGCACGATATACGTTCGAATGTGTTTCGAACAATATTTTAAGCATACTAATTGTTACCTCTAAGTTTTATTAATTTTTGAGTCTATTATCAACGGCCATACTTTGCCTTTCAATGTATAGATTATAGAAATGTGTGTTTCTATTTTTTTTTTTTTTTGTAATTGACTTAAGTCATTTAATAATATTTGTTTATTTTCTGTAACCAAATACAACTCAATACTATATAAGCAATACGATATTCGATATCCGTTTTGCCGAACCGAAATGCACGTATAAACCATTCATGGCAACCTATAAAGGCCATAAAACTAAACTATGAATACTTTCTGAATCTCGCGAGAGATATGTGTGTGAAATTTGGTATTTATTGGTTCATTCTTTTACAAGTCTATAAGCTATACAGCCATACAAACATATATTAAATAAAATATATACAAGTATAAATTTAATATGCCTAATACTTTAATAAAATATTTTTATCACGCATAATAAAATAATTTATTATAAGTACGTAGTAAGTAGGTAATCGAATTTAATAGTAATGCTTGTTGGTTGAAGTACTGAGTTGTATTTTATAAACGTAAACAACTATCATCCGGAGTACTTAATTTACGCAACAGGTATTAATTTCAGTGGAAACAGCTACTTCCGAGTTCCGACCACCGATCAATGTTGAATAGTTAATTTCTAGCTGAATACCTCACGGCCTTATGGTGGTTTGTTCATTGGCATTTCCGACAACTTCTCATTAATTGTATATCGGTGAATTATAAACACGTTTAATGGATAATTGGTTTGCATTTTAATAGTAAAATMCGTTTTAAAATTATTAGTTTTAATTAATAGTTTATCAAGTACTCATCCTGAATCTTACTGCTTAATATATATACGAGATAATTAGATAATAATTTAAACTGTATTATTTTACAATAGTTATTGTAATATTTACAGTGCATTTTAAACATAATGTATGATATGTTTTAACTTGGTTATTTTTCAACTGCATTTCATATATGGTTAAATATTGATTAATTTTGGAAATGTGTTCTAAATCATTGATAAAAAATAAAAAAACAAAATAAAATTGTAGATTCAATAAAATATTATATGTTAATAAATTGTTGCAAGTTTTTGGAAATGTAGGTACACTGCATCGTGTCGACTTAAACTACTTACACAGTGCAAAATATGTTAGATTTGAATAATTTGTTTAGGCAGGTATCGAGGCGTTTGAATTTGTTCGTTATTTAATATAAACATTAAAGACGTGTGCAGCAAACTTAACATAAAAAGTCTGTGTAAGTAARTTTGATCATTTTTTGCTTTTTCTTCACATTTTATTCTTTCACGACATAAACGTTTTAGTAACTCACAACTTTAAGTGTAGCATCCCTTTTAACACCTAATAAYTCAGTCACGTTAAGTTATACGTATATAATTTGGTTTTCCACAAGAGTTTTTTTGCGTGGTAAGAAAAAAATCGTTCTTCGATTACTCCTTTTTCATTCTTATTCCGGTCTAGATAACTTTACTTTAATTATTAGCTCATAGATATGGCGGTCTAATAAATAAATACTTATAAGTGGTCTCTGCACGTGACAGTGTAATTTGCATATCACGCTGTAAACCTGTGTGTATACTTATTATAATAATATTTTGTATGCGACGCGCGCTCAGCCCACACACAAATACATCTGTAAACCACCCATAAACGAACAAACTAAAATTGTTCGGATGACAGCTACACAGCTCTCAAAATCTAAATTGAATATTATATTTTGCTCRAAGAATTCACGTCGTCTTAAAATGGTGTCATATATATATTATACACTCTAATATATGGTTGTTCAATTTTAATGCGAGTAGATTGAAAATAAAATAAAACTTTCAAATCGAAGTACTAACCTCCCCACCCCTTCATCACAACAATACTCTTCATTGATACATTAATCTCAGCAGTGAACATAGACTGTTGGGTAATTATCCCTGGTACGATAGGTTGGTTGGTTGGTAACACTTTTATGTATGGCAAGTTTTTTGACACTAAGAACCCGGGTGGTCACTTATCCGGGAATTATAGACAGTGGGAGGTGCGTATTTTCAATAATATTGCGCRAATGATTGGAACAATCGTGCCACACCAAGTCACAAGTGGATGATGATATTATTATACGCTAAAAATATGACTGATCAGTTTACTATATTGTGTATTTTTTAAGGTAATTGATAGAATATCTGACTTAAAAATTCATAACTTTTATAAAAAATTGTGTATTTTTTTTTAAATGTATGTATGTGTGAAATTTAAATCAGTACGTATTAATTATATTTATATAATCTATTTAGTTTTGAATTATTGCGTAACTAAATAAATTAAACAATTATTTATACATATTTCTGAACTAATGTCCTCACATAAAATCAAAATATAAAAGAATAAATAAGTATATTTTTAAATCGGTGATTAGTTTTTGAAGTGTTTTGATAAAATTGATATTATACGACGGATAAGAATATACATAATATTAAAATATTTACTAGGTACTTTTAATAGAGACGGTAGAAAGATGATCTGGCTTAAACACTCACGCCTATTCACTCTTAACATTAAAAACGTGATTATCGATATTGTTTAGGATTTAAGTTTCCCCCTCCATTGCTTTTTCAAGTATTGATAATATATTACTGTTATATTAGCCTCAGTGGTAGTGGCCGTGCCAGAGAATAAAATAAAATAAATAAAATATGAGTATTAACTTTATACGGATTACGTTAATCAATAATCATAATGATTTAAATTAACACTAAATATTTGTATGGTAAAACCTGTATCTATACGTAGGTATTTTAATTAATGAAGATTATATATTTTCAAAGTTATGTCAAGATAACATAATTAAAAAAAAATTATATCTTCATGCTTACTTCGGAGTATTTATAAGTATGTCAATCAACTAGGTTGTGAAACATTGAGGTGAAAACGATTTCACCTCCATCTCTACTTCTTTCATACTTACATCTCCGGACACGAGTGTTAAAATTTAACCATATGGTTCCTATCTAAGTTTGGTAACACATCCGCCTACCAATCAATCATGTGGACATTTATCGTATGCTTTTTGATCTGCGCGCTACAGGTGTCCGCAGCCACTACCACTCAGGAGTCAGGTAAACTCGTAGCTTTATCTAATCGATTTAATATTATTTAGTCACCGTACGTTTACTATATTATAAGCCATAAGACTAGCTAACCCCGTGCATTTCATTGCTTTTAAAAAATTGTGATTGTTCAAATCTTTTTGTATGTAACTCACTGCAGTAAGTGCAATACAGCCTCCCTAGTAGATAATCTGACTACGTAGGATCGCGCACAATGTGTAATAGTATATCAATATAGTACATCTATACATTAATACAACTCAGAGTACTTTAAAATACTAATTTCTACTATAATTATAATATTTTATAATTGTTTCTTCTATAATCAATAGCCACCATTTTCAACCAACTGCAACCAATAATAATTTTTATTATAGCTTTAAAACCCATGGCAACCATTTATAAACAAAAATTTCTATCGTAAATCTCAAAATTTTGTTGCGTGGAATTCGAATCATACATTATATGTATATCCATTAAATCATGCTGAAAAAAAAATAATATTGAATCATATATCATTAAATTTATTGGGTTAGAGCTTCTCTGTAAACGATATTTGAAGTCGTTTTATTTTGTGGTAGCGAAATAAATTGATTATCAGAAGATCCAATTCGTAATAAGCACACATACAATAGGACATGGGTAAAAATTCCTTTCGTAGGTCGTCTCTACTAAAGTACATTCGTGTACCATTACATGTACYTTCATACGTGTCTGCGAAACCGTGGAAATACACATACAACATTTCAACTCAATCAGTCCAGCCGTTTAGTAGTTGACATACCGACAGCATCGCCACCTACCGAGTCCAATTATATTTTTAAAATAATTTAGGAAACCATCGAAATACCCATATAAAACTTCAACCCAATCGGTTCAACCGTTTAGAAGTTATGTGAAAAAGATAAGTACTGAGTGATAATTCATACAACCCGTTGTCTTATTACCTGTTTTCTCGTAGGAATGAGAAATTTTCCCGCGGTAAAAAGTAGCCTATGTCTAATATGTCTATCAGGGATAATGTTGGTTTCTAATGGTAAAACAATTTTTAAATCGGTACAGTGGTTTCGGAGCCTATTCAATACAAAGGAACAATCAAATCTTTCCTCTTTATAATATTATTGAAGATACACATAAAATATATTATTATTTTTATATATGAGTATTTATTCCTCAAGAATAATGGACTCCATTAAACATRTAGTAAACATGTACCTATTATATATAACCATTAAGGGAAAATTGTAATATAATTCATGTTTATGCCAAATAGGGCATGGGAAAACTAAACATTATATTATGCATATTGTATAGTGYTAATTTGGTTGAATGAATGATATAACAAATTTAAATATACATTTTTAGATTTTTCACWTTGGAAATTAATTTTTTTATGTTGTTGTCAATTAAAACATTAACTTTTTAGCTTAAATGAAAAATATGTTACTACTTTTTTAGCTCATTAAAATCATAACATACAATTAAATGTTTTTTAACATATTTTATTGATATTACTATAATTATAGTAATGATAAAGTAAAAAACAATATTCGAAATAAGGGGTTGTTTTGATCGTGTTATAAAAAATTCTTATGAAAAGTTCACTAGATAAAACTTCTAATTTGATKATCGGTCAATTCGCTCTTAAATCAAACATAATTGGGTTAAAATTATTATTCAGTRCATACAATTTGATATTTTATGCGTTTGTAACACAGTGATAACGTATGTAGGTGTAACTTCAACAAAAAATAACCACTAAATTCATTAATCATATAAATGTACTTTGTCTGYAGTTATATTATAAAAGTTAAATTCTTTGTCAGATCCWAAATTCTGGATAGAAAATGGAAAACGTATGTTAGAGGAAAAGTCAAAACAACCATTGCGAACGAATAAAGCGAAAAATGTGATAATGTTTCTGGGAGATGGTATGTCATTGACCACATTAACGGCCGCTCGAATATACAAAGGTCAGTTGCAGAACACGTCTGGTGAAAGCGAACACCTGAGCTTTGAACGGTTTCCGTTCACTGGAATATCAAAGGTAATTATTTGATAACAAAAMAACTGTTATTAGAATACACGTTGCATAGGGCTTTTATTTTACATTTACCTAATCGTTGGTTTCGTCCATACGAATAGACATATTGCGTTAATAGTCAAGTGGCTGATTCAGCATGTTCAGCCACGGCATATCTGTGTGGTGTAAAGGCAAACAAAGGCACGATTGGCGTAACGTCTAAAGTACCCCTTGGAGATTGTCCGTTATCTGTTCCGGATGAGCACCACGTGACTTCCATAATGCAATGGGCACAATGGGCTGGGAAAGCAACCGGCTTCGTGACCAACACCCGGGTTACTGACGCATCACCAGCTGGTTGTTACGCACACATCGCTCACCGAGACTGGGAATCTGACGTAGATATGATRAAGAGTTCCAATGGAACAACGAACATTGCACAGTGTGAAGACATAGCTAAACAACTGATAACAAAAGATCCCGGTAGAAATTTTAAGGTATGATAATCTGTTTTTAAACTTCCACAGCAAAAAATATGTTATTCCATTTTTTTTATGTTTTCAATTTTTCATAAGGTTATCATGGGCGGTGGTCGCGATAAGTTCTTAAAGCAAGAAGCTAATTCCACGGGATTAAGATCGGACGAAGACTTAGTTATCAGTTGGAAAAATGACAAGCGAACGAGATTCAGTGATAAAATTTCAAAGTACTTGACAACTAGAGATGAACTAGTGAAGACAGATATGTCTCAAACTGATTTTGTGTTAGGTAAGATCAACTTATTTTTTTATTTTTGATAATAATTTCACAATACTCTTTCGGTAACTCAAGGCCAAACATAATAAATTCTTGTTCAAATATCATTATTGCTAAGTCTATAATTATGTGCCATTGACTGTGAAACCTGCAAAATAATATGAATTCATGTGATATATATTATATATTACGTTTTTATATTAAGCTTAATTCAAACTTTTCCATATCCTTGCAGTTTTGGTTTTTAGATACGAATAAAAAATAAAAATATTCTGTATTATTTGACTTATGTGAGCATATCATGGGCAAATTTGATCAAAACAGATTGAGTATAATTAAATAGCTCTATTAAAATTGTGTTAAAAATTGAAGAGCATAATGCCAAAATATTTGTCAGCATTTTTTATATTTTTTTTCTTCAGAATTGTACTGTTTGATGTTGTCTTCAACTGGAACGTACATTTTTCAGGTCTTTTTCACCGAAGTCACATGGATTATAGGTTAAAATCCAATTTCGAGACGCAGCCGACGTTACAGGAAATGACCAGGAATGCTATTCAGCTGCTTCAGAAGGAACCAAACGGTTACGTTCTTTTCATAGAAGGTGGCCTCATCGATAAGGCACATCATAAGACGTGGGCGAGAATCTCGCTCGACGAAACGTTAGAGTTTTCTAAAGCTGTGGAGAACGCTGTGGCGATGACGAGTGAAGATGACACATTAATCGTGGTGACTTCAGACCACGCGCACACCATGTCGATGGCTGGTTATCCTAAACGAAACGAGAATATACTCGGCTTAACGCAATCACTAGCCTCAGACAATATGACTTACACAACACTAAGCTATGCCATTGGTCCGAAAAAATCATTCACAAATGATAGCACGTGTCACAGAGTCAACGTGACCGAAGAAGATTTATGTAAATATTAAATTAAAACCTATACTTTATTTTATTAAAATGTCGTACTTTGATTAAAAATTGAGTCTTTTCTATTTAGATTTCATTATTTCGGGTTGAAAATTATATGCTAATTATTAACGATGGGTTAAAATTTAAATAATTATTTTTATTTTTATTAAAATGTATATTAGAGATATTATTGGTCATCAAAATATTTTCATTATTTTAATTTGAGTTGTTTTTTCTAGTAAAAATCGATTATCAATATCCAAGTCTGGTTGATCGATCTAGTGCGACACATTCAGGCGAAGATGTAATGGTATTTGCGAGGGGTCCTATGTCTCATTTATTCGCCGGAAACTACGAGCAAAATCAAATTGCTCTAGGATTAGCAATGGCAGCTGGTATTTCTACAAATCCACCAACCAATGGCTCCAATATCGGTAACGTTGTTCGACTGCAATTTGCTGGACAAGCCATTCTTACTATAATCGCGTTGATGAGTTTCATGAGAAGTATACAGTACAGTTTATAAATTTCAAAAAGGATATTACAATATATATAACGTTATTTTATTTGTAAGTTAATGTATATTATATATGCATAATATATAATGTATATTGTATATTATATATATATATATTTCATAAAAAAGTTTTGTATTTTATTTATATATATTTTGAGTAAATAAAAGATTACTAAAAATGTGGTATTATACATAAAATTAACTTCCATATTACGAAGTCTCATCAGCAACAAAAAACTCCRGATTATAGAGAATTTCAGTAAACATAATTAAGGGGATTAGAAGCGGTGATTTTYTGTTTTTGTATAACACACGTGGGACATACAATACGCCTGACAAAAATTAAGGTACTTCTAGTTGTTTGATTTAAAATATGTAAAGATGTGTTAATTGGTATACAAGTTTACTTTGCATCGGCTGAAGCACTTTTTCGATTGTAGCAATATTTTGATAAAAATAAATATTTTAAACATTATAAATTTGTCAATATTTGTTCTTAAATATATTAAAAATATGCTTCGACTGATGCGAAGTAAACTTGTATATCAATTCAAAAATCTTTACATATTTTAAATCAAGCAGCTAGAAGTACTTTAATTTTTATCAGGCGTATTGTATGTTCCACGTGTGTTAGACAAAGACAGAAAATCACCGCTTCCAATCCCCTTAAAATATTTTGGTTTTGTTTTCAAAACTATTTTAGTAAATAATGTTACATGGAATTTTTACAATGACATTTATTTGAGAATACGTTCAAATGACAGTCACAGGTGAGAGATATTTAACGAATACCTATTCATTAAATAATTGTTGTCATAAAAACTCGGAAAATTCTTAAAGCTTATACTAGAGCATTTATATATATATATATATATATATAAACTACAATCAACTAAGATTAATTAATATAATATATTAATTGCACATAATATTTAACTGATCATATTTTTCGTAGATTTTTATTTGTTTGGTATTTAACAGCAGATATTAAAACATATAGTATCGTTTGTTATTTTCAACATTTACTTTAAAAATGATTTTGGTTGTGGTGTTAAGATTATTTATTCTATAGTATAAATTTGAATAATTTATTTAACGCATATGATATATAAAAAAATGTTAAATACGGCTGTAAATTGTATTATTAAAAAATACGTGTAAATGTTTGTTTATTTTTCTTTGACCACTGATATGTTAACTCTTTGTTATAGGATTTGTTTATTTCTGTCCTCTGATATCACTTAAGATGCTTTTTTTTTTAAGACGCTGTCAATTTTAGCTCAAAAGTCTTTTAGTTTTGACAAAATTAAAGATGGATTTTTCATACGATTTTTATTCTGAAAAAATTGAATTCAGCAAAAAATGGTTTATAAATCACAATACGTATTTTATTGTGAACAGTAATTCCAAACTACCTATAACATATTATGTATTTCTTCAATTGATGAATAAAATGAAAATTACAAACGAAAATTATTTCATACGACCTWCAAACATTTTTCTCTTTGATTCAAGTATTTATTCTTCAGATTCAAAATCATACGACGATAACTAACTTTAATAATCAAACCAATAAGTAAGTTGTCACAAAATTAGTGTAATGAATTTCATATTGTTATAGAGTTATTGTCACATTATATGCATGCGCGTACGAGAGTGGCATCCGCATTCAATTTCAGTCATACCAATTTACGAACTAACACATAGATCCCAGACGAGATTAGAAATTACTGAAAATATGTTGTCCTTTAAAATATAATGGTCGTAGCAAGGCCATTCAGTATACAAACATTCGTGTTTCGTATAGAATTCCGTCTTCTATTAGCGGGAAAAAAATTATGTATGTAATTTCCTGTATGCAAACAATATAATATGGCTCGTAAACCTTCAYATTTTAGACTTTGATATTATTTTCAATGGTGACCAGAAGGTACAATTGTAATCATTAGACTTAAAAGTGTCTGACCAAGTACTTTGGTGCGCAATTTAATACGATTTTCCCGTAACATGAAGTATTCCATACATTAAAAAAAAAATACTAATCGTATTATTAAAACGAATTTAAATACTTGCCTATTTTCTGCCACTACACTAGAGTACCTTAGTAGTAGTCCGTGGCATTCTGCGTTTGGCTATATACCATTTGCTATAAGATACAAACWTTCGCATAAAAAAAAATTAATTTAACGTAAGTACGTATATCGAAATAATAAACGATGGCTAACATTTTTAACTCGTTTATGCACACAATTTGCGTTACTTGTTTAGATTTTAGTAGAAATTCAAACATAAAAAAGTGTATATTTAACTTTTTCGACATTATAAACTAAATATAATAATGATTTTTTTGTTTCGTACCTGCACAACTCACGTACGTGGACGATTTGAGTTGTAGACAATRGGTATGGGATGCGATAAATTTATTTGATTCACATCACGTGTGTTCTATTTTATTTAAAACTTTTTTTTTATAATTCTRAGTACCTAGAACTTATTACCATTTTCTATAAGTACCTACATTTATACGTGTAATACAACATCATTGGGATCGTCCAATAAGACAGTTATACATTGATGTACCTACCTTTGTTGAATATTTATTTATTAGTATATATACAGGGTTCTGCAAGTAAATTTTAGTTGAGTAATAAATAACAAATAAATGAGGTCCAGAAAAAAATATTTTTTGTCAAATTATTATAATATGTTTGTAATAGTAAATTGTAGACGAAAAAATTATAATATATTATGTTGATGATCCAGTTGTTTATCTTTCACAGTCCGGACTCGGACCGCGGTCCATCAGTTGCAGCCGACCGTTGGTATATAATATAATATATATTATGTCTTATTTATTACTAGTCTAAGTGTAGTTAAATTAAATAGTACAAAACATTTTGAACAGCAAAATTGTGTCTTATACCAAAAGGTTCGTTACAACAATACAGTTTTAAATTAATTGACTGAAAAAATACTATCATGATAAACGYGTTGTTTGAATTTTTCGCCATAGATTCGCGAAGGATTTACTACAAGGTAGGCATTGAACTGTTGCGTCTAAGGGTACATAGTTGTAGTTATATAATTGTATCATAATTTAGGTAGGCGATTTGTTTTTTGATGAGATTTGTAAACATTTGGCGTTGTATTATATCCTATTACAAATTCGTAATATTTGTGTAGTAATTCGATCTAAGCGTCGTCAAATAATAATAATATTGATAATATCATTACTACCTATAGTATTATAATAACGTTAGACCAAACACAACTGCTAAATGCTAATGCCTCGCATTATTATTATTATTATTATAAACAGTGTATTATGTTTAACGGTTCGTGGGCACACCGATGAAAAAGACAAAAACATTATTATTGTAATTTTTTTATTTTCATAATATGCGGCAGAAGCGTATATCGGAGCATTTGAATTATCGTTGTTAAACGATGACTACGAACGACGAACCAGGAGCCCCCCGTGCCTAGCGTGACGAGTCGTAATATATTATTATATCCGTTTGTGTCGAGTACGGTTTTCGGTAATTTGAAACCGTACATGTACATCATGAATAGCGAATAAAATAATGAATACGTATAAATGTATAACATTTATGATGAAACATTGCGAGGGGGTACATGGTGGAGGGACATTGTCACGCGATGATTTATGTAAAAACGACGGCGCCGCCGGTGTTTTAGGGACTTAGGGTAAAACGTTTAAACGTTATTAAAAAAAAAATAAAAACAACTATATGATTAAGGATCGCGTTCTGTCGTCGGGTTAAACGTCTCGAACGATGTTTTATTTTCGTGTAACAATAATCGTATATGCGTAAAATGTCTTCCCAACKTCAACGACGACAACAATTCTTAAACTGATTATTATTACTATTTTAAATATATATTATTATTACTATGCACGCGTTTGTCGTTTCATAGTCATATTGTGACCTTTATTTTCTCCTATGTAGACCACCGGAGA